CATCTTAACACACGCCTTTTCATTGGCTTCCTCTAACAAACAACAGTTTAAAAGCCTATTTAAAATAGCATTTCCTTTATCATGCATTTCTCTTCTGCTTCCTAATTTTTCAACAATTCCCTCACAAATCCAGTCTTCAATTAGGTCTCGTCTTATAATCATCCAATCTTCTGGATGCAATGAGCAATATAAGAAACACTCTTGGATGCTTGAATTTGGTAGACGGTCATAACTGAATTTCAAACGGTTATATATCTCATCGTCTGAATCTTTCTCTGTGTCCACCACACATTGACGCAATTCACGTAATGCATTTCTCCACTCAAAAATATCTTGTACTCCTCTCATGCTCCCCGCAATGACAACAATGGCCAATGGCAAACCAGCGCATCCAGCCACCATAAGCTTCAAAATCTCTTCCAAATTGGGAATTCGTAGAACATCTTGCCCAACCTTATCTAAAAACAAGTTCAAAGACTCTTGCTCTAGTAGAGGTGGCACTTTAACTACCTGAGATTTCAAGTAGTAGCATACATCAATCGATCTGCTAGTAATAACAATTTTACACCCATTTTCCATTGTTGGTTCTGGGATTCCAATTCTGTGAAGAGTAAATTTATCCCACACATCATCTAAGATCAATGCATATTTAACTATTTTCATAACATTCATCAGTCTTGATGCCCGGCTCAATTCATCCCACCAATCTGAAAGACTTACGTTCATTGCCCTAGCAATGTCATCTTGCAATCTGAAAACATTAAGAGGATGTGATACTGTAACCCAGACAACCTTCTCAAACACAATAGCCTTATTCAGTATCAGTAATTCATTATGGATGTGTTTCATAACAGTGGTTTTGCCAACTCCACCAATTCCACAAACTCCAATAATTCCAACCTCGTGACCCATTAAGTATTCCCAAATTTTTTCCTTCACATTAACCTCGCCCACCATATTCTCTGTTGGCAAAGGGATTCCAATAGTTGGAGACCTTTCAATTACAAGACCTTCAGGGAAACTACCTCGATCGTAAATTTCCCTCACATCTTGAATCATTTGGCGAACACGTCTTCCAAGGTTACCACGTGACCAGTATGAAACATTCTGCACGTGTTCTTCAATATCTGACATTTCAATTTCAATGACCTTCCTTGCATCTTCAAGCCATCCCTGCACTTCTTCTTTAACTTTTTTTTCCAAGTCATCCACCATTTGTAGTTCTGCTACTCTATCATTTCTTCTGCGTTTTAGATCTGCCACTCTTTTTCTGAGATCATCCACATCATTTTGGAAGTTTTTGTGGCAATCTACATATTCACCTACTACACTTTCAAGAACTGGCCCTATAATCTCCATGAATGAAGTTTCTAAAATGAAAAAAAAAACATGGATATCATTAAAATGTTCGTTTGGTAGTGTATACTTACGAAGACCAAAGAAAAGATAGTGTATTCTTGCAAGCAAGGAAAAAGAAAAAACATGAAGAAGAAAAAGAAGAAGAAGAAGAAGAAGAGACAAAACTCTCTATTTATATTTTGTATATTAATTTTTTATAATTAATATCTTCAAAATTTTTTACTTTCAATTTTTTTTATAATTTAAAATTCATAAAAAATCTCCAATTACCAACAAATTATGGTAGAAATAAGGGATTTGACCACAAAATCAAGATGCAAATAAAGGGAATG